AGTCTAGTTTTAAAAACTCTTTTACTGTCTGAGCCATGTTTACAATTTATATCGCTTCTACTTGTTCGTTTTTCGTTGATTGTGTCAAGAGTGACTAATCAAACTTTTCCGGTGTTTTAAATACGGATGGTAAATAAAGCTGAAGATTATATTTTTCGTTTAAATTTACCAGCTTATTCCTTAGACGTTGTAAAGTGTCTGAAGTTTACACTCTGGACTTAACAGTTTATGTTGCCACTCATTAATTAAACTTTTGATTTTATTGTATTCATATACAAGGATCTCAGTGTGTTTGATTACTGTGGATTGTAAAACTGGTTCGCTTTTATTTAGGCACTTATACGATTTTTCAAAATTTGATCTATGCAGCTTTATTGTCTCGACTATTTAGTACCATTCCATGTGGCACTTCCTTACTTAAATATTTTTATTTGTGCAATCGCACCATTATTATTGTTTCTGGGTGTTCTTCAGTAATTATTTTTACTGAGACATGTAGCAACGTACTTAGGATTATTCCCTTTTCAATTTTTTGGCAATGTACTAACCGACTTGTGTTAGTCGAAGGTATCAATATATTCATTTTCGAATTCATTGTCTGTAATGTAGTACGTTTAGTGCGCGAATACGAAAATAATAAGTATAAGTATAAGTATAATAAGTTAATAAGTATTTCAATATCTGTCATATTAATATTATTTATATTTTGATATCTTTTCTTTGTTAATATTATATATATGCTTAGACTTTGTCTAGTCCATCTGCTCTACTTATATAACGTTTCTTTATTTTCTTAGTATACATTGCATACACTTTTAATGATAATGAAATAACAGATAGAACGGTGATTATTATTAACAGAACTGTTATATCTTCTAAATTTTCTCAATGATCAATTACTTTAACGTTATTTATTACATTAGCGGCTGATTTTTCAACCTTTGAGCCCATTTTAATTGGAATTTGGAATATTGATCGTATTGAAGATTTTACAAATTATTACGAATTCATTTTTTTTTTATTCTATTTTGTTTATTATGATTGGTACATGTACATTCATATGTTTGTGTTTAAAAAAAATGGGTTTTGACAATATGTTTGTTTAAATTTTTAAAAAAGGCCTTTGTGTTTGTTTCTCAAGTTGCCTACTTCGATCAGCGCAGTGATCTCCTCTCTAATGTTTCGTACAACTTATTAGCACTCTGCCTTGACGCACTCAACAAAGTGGCCTGTCATTATAATATTATAATACATCTCTATATATAAAACTGTTTCTCCTGACTGACTGACTGACTGACTGATTGGTGATCAACCCAAACCGTAAGAGCTAGGAAGCTGAAATTTTCACTGTAGCTACCTTATGTGATGTAGGTGCACGTTAAGACGGGGTTTCGGGAAATTCCACCCGCAAGTGTGGAAAAATCGCGAAAAATGTTTGTATGTAACTTTTTTGTTTACCATCCGATCGGCCTCAAACTTATTTTCAAAGATCTTTGTTCAAATTCATTTGAGGGGTGTTTCACACTTTTCGAAAAATCCGTTCCTCCTTGGTGGAAATGGAGGTCAAAGATTTGGTGGGTGACGTTTCGCGCTCAAATTCATTTCCAGAGATCTAAAAGAAAAATCATTTGATACGTGTTTGGTGCGGTTAGCGTTGCCGGTGCAGGTCATCGCACCGGCCGGGCTGAATAGTGGTCCCTCGCTGTCTTCTGGGCACCTTTTAGGTTGCCTGGGCTGCAGCTTCTTCTCTGTATTTTGAATATAAGTTTTATTAGACAAGTTCTTTATACGTTAAGTGGAAGGCGTTTTCGTTTGTGTTTTTTGGTTTGGTTTTTTATCTTTTAATTTAATTTCATTACTTGCGCCTGTTCATTGGCTGTTGTTCGTCTTGCCCTATACTCATCAAGCGCGATGCGTTTAAACTTTGGAACTTTTGACACAAGCGAAAATAAACCCTATACTCACTTTTCTCACGTTCAAGATTATTGTTCTTTTTCGCTGATGCACTTCGTTATCCCGCGCCGTTGAAGATTAGTTCTTTCTTTCTTAGTTCTTTTCGTTCTACTGCCTCCAGGCCGGCAATCGTGATCATGTCACGGTCGCCATGTAATAAAAATATATTTTGAAACGGTAAGCACATCAGTGCTGTTTTGTATCTTTGTTCAGAATGATTTTATTCAAAGTTAAGGGTATGTATGGATACATGTTTGTACTTATGCTGTTATCGGTTAACAGCTACAAAGAGAGAGAGAGAGCGGGTGTACTCATACATGTGGGCGCTCACTCTCAGCGGTTATCCGTTGGTCAACGGTCTTACGCTGTCTTGGCCTGCAAAAGAGGCATCATGTTACTTATGTGCGCAGCACTGTATGTATGTATGTGCATACATATATACGATTATATTTATGCTATGCGCTTGAGTCTGTACTATTATCTTTGTTTATACTTTCAAAAAAGTGTTACAAATTGAGTTATGTACTATATGTATGAATACACTACAAAGGGGAGAATTATTAGATTCTGCGCATCTGTATGAAACGCTACTAGCGAGAAACAGAATATTGATTACAGAAATACAAAACCTAATGCCCACTATCACACTCGCCAAATCCAATATAATAAATCCCGTAATTTTAATAGATCCCGTAATTTTTGATGACAATGATTTGAAGTCTATTTTTGCCGAACAGCTCACAGAGGTCCCTATAGTTAGTTTAATGGCAGTATCTACTATTAGAGTATTTCAATCCAATAGCAACCTTTACATATTAATCGACTATCCTAAGGTTAAGGGTATCTGTAAGAAGGTCATAATATTTCGCGTGACACAAAACAACACCGTACTGGAAATGCATGACAACGTAGTTGAGGAATGCAACGATGGAATCTTAGCTGTCACAGAGTGAACTACAAACAACTATGCGACGTTCTGCAAACAGGCAACACATGAAACATGTGCTAGCGGAGTACATGCAGGCGGATCAGCTGTATGCCACAAGCAACCCAGTCACTTAGAGCCGATCACGCTAGTGGATGAGGGGATAATCAACGTCAACGATCAATTCGCAAGAGTCAGCGTAGAAGACGGGCCCATGATAACAACATAGGGGGCTCTGCTCGTCACATTCGATCGCATAGCTATAATAAACAACACTAAATATTTCAATCACAGCAAAGCTGAAAGCAATGTGCTGAACATCCCGGGACACGATCATGTGCTAAGTCTACCACTGGTGCAGCGGATGAATGAGCACAACCTACATGTCACCCCGGAGCTCAGGAACGAAGTTACATCCGGCATTGGCCGTATAAATTAATAATTATAATCTTTGCATTACTGAGCCACAAGGCCAGTGGTTAAGGAGAACTAGTCATTCTCCCTCATCTTTGTAACCATCGACGTCGTGACACCATTCTCAGGAAGACGATATTGTCTAATTTAAATAAGCAATCGAGCTTTTAGGACCTAATAATTGCAATTCTGTTACAAATATTACTCTGTTCGAACCCTGCTGACTGTTTAGTAGCAGGTTACCAAGGCCTTTCGCCGAAATGTATTTATTTGCAGTAAGATAAATAACTTCTTTGCATTACTCTTTGAACAATTCATGCCTCGCACACATATGGGCACGTATTCAAGAAAATACCAGACGGACGCTGCCAATGTCGTTGTTGTTCGCTGCCTGGCTGTGCTCAATTTCAGCGATAACAATATTTGAAAAGTGATACTGAAAGTCATCTTTTACACTATAGCCTTCATTCATGCGCTTTTGTAACAATGTTACCATACAAACGGGACCTGAAGGCTGATGTATCTTCTTAAGATCATACCCCATGGATTTTGCCCATTGACCTTTTTACTCCACTTATTTGTGATCCGCACATCGACACGAATAACACAGCTAGTGCTTTATCGTTGCTTTGGCTCCACGACCTGTATGCTGCACTAGTCACATCCTCTTGCTTGTCAAAAATCTTGATGTACTAATATGCTCCTCATTAACACTTTCATAAATACCGTTACTAAGTTTTTCAAAATTAATAACTAATTTTCACTTATTCACACACATTCAAGTTAACTTGGTTTATTTATTGCACTTGCATCTATGCACCTTTTGTAATTGGTTTTTATTTTCACCACTGTTCTTTTCATTTCTTTTGCCGAAAGAATACTGCCTGTGAATATTGCCTGGGTTATATATTGTTGGCGGAGTAATAAACGCAGCGGTCACAATCGCGAAAATAAGGAACAGCTTCGATTAGAAGTAGCAGAGAGACTATTTTATTCGTTTTACATATGCACTTGCTGCTAATGCGGCAGGGATGCCACTCTGATACATTATTGATAGCATCACCAGATCAATCAATTATGATCCTCATATATATGCAAAATCTTATCGACATCGGACCGCTTTTTCACATAGCTCTCATGGGAAAGATGGGTCGAAAAGAAGGTGTTATATTCTGGTTTCAAAGATGTTTTCATCAGCATATACAATCTTATTATTCTTACATATCTGCAAATCGTATATGTCTAAAAGGGTATTAAGTCTTCGGCGTACCGAAAATATCCTTACTCTATGATTTTTTTAAAGATAACTTGATCAAACTAGGCACTTATTAGTACAACTGTGATCCCCATACTATATACCACTATATCATACAGCTCCCATAGAAAAGATCGGTAGCAAAATATTTTCTTTTATAGCAAATTATTCTGTTTTTAAGCTATTATTATCAAACCAGCATCACGAAATTGCATAAGGAAATGTTTACAAGCGTTTTAAATTTTCGGCGTGCCGCTGGACGTGGCGTTCAAGATATTATGCTTGATGGAATATTTAACCACGGCGGGGAACTAATAAAAATGTTAAATGCTACAATGTTACAATATGAAGCACAATCTAATCTTAGTAATCTGCAAAGAAAATTGTGTGAATATAAATTTTAATCCTAGCATATAATTTTTGAAAACAATACTTTCATCGAAATATATTTCATTGAAAAAAACACAAATTTAAAGCTAAAAAAATATAAAAGTGAAAACTAAATTTTAGTAAAATTTGCATTTCTTCTCTCTCAGAATGTCATTGTCAGCCAAAGATAATATAAAGAAGGGTTCCACACAGTTAAGCCATATATGTGAGCTGAATATCAAGAAACAGTCTTCACACCGTCGCCTTGTATCTGTTATTGCGACTATCTCAAGGGCTTCACGTAACTCTGAAACAATTTACAACATGCTATTGAAAGGCGTAAATATCTTTCGATTGAATTTTTCCCACGAGTCACATGAATCTCATACTCAAACTATTGAGCTAGTTAATAAAGCCCTGCAACGTATAAAGAACGAGTTAGGTCAAACCGTTTCTGTAGCATTTGCTGTAGACACCCGTGGGCCGCAGATTCGCACCGGTTTATTGGATGGTGGAAATGAAATTTTATTACGTAATGGGGAAAATATACGTTTATCCATTAATCGAGATCTTTACGACAAAGGAAGTAAGGAAGCCATCTACGTGGACTACCCAAACATTATTAATGTTGCAAAGCCAGAAGATCGAGTTTTTGTTGATGACGGAAAAATATTTCTAACTATTCTCGAGGTTGGTGTGGATGGGCTCGTCTGCGAGGTGATTCAAGGTGGTGTTCTAGGCAACAATTGCAATGTTATACTACCTGAAGTGGAGATCGACTTGCCCGCTGTTTCTGAGAAGGACATGGACGACTTACAGTTTAGTGTGAGGGCAAATATAGACATTGTTTTCGCTTCGGGAGTGCGGAGTGCAAAGAATATTAAAGAGTTACGTTCTGTGCTTGGTGATAAAGGCAAGTATATTAAGATCATAGCTAAGGTGGATAGCAAGATTGCACTGGGTCGAGTACCAGAAATAATGAGCGCATCGGATGGATTACTTCTGAGCCGTGCCGATCTGGGAACACAAATACCAATTGAAAAACTTTTTATAACTCAAAAGTCGGTACTAGGTCAATGTAATAAGGCAGGCAAGCCAGTAATAATTGCATCAAATGTTCTCGAGTCGATGCGTTTTAATCCCTTTCCGACACGTGCAGAATGCTTTGATCTTGCAAATGCAGTCATTGACGGAGTTGATTGCATTATGTTGTCATCTGAGGTGGCGATTGGCTTATATCCAATTGAAACTGTAGGTATTTGTGATATCCTGTGTCGTGAAGCAGAAAAGGTGGTATGGTACCGCGATCTTTTTGAGGACTTGGTTCATGAAACGCAGGGGGAGCTGGATGCTTCTCATTCAATAGCTATAACTGCTGTTGAAACAGCAAGGCGCACAAAAGCTACACTAATCATAGCGCTCACTACATCAGGACGGTCTGCGGCCCTACTAAGCAAGTTTAGACCTCGATGTCCAGTTCTCGCAGTCACCAGATGTGAGAGGGCAGCTCGCTGGGTTAATTTGCATCGTGGTGTTTTACCTTTACTATATCCGGCAGACTGCGATGAAAATTATACAAATGATGTTGATGCACGAGTACGTTTCGCATTAACAAGCGCGAAGAAAAGTGACTTAATTAGTGATGGTGATCCTATAGTAATCGTTAGTGCATGGAAAGACGGCGGAGGTTTTACTAACAATGTCCGTGTTGTTTATTCATTCTTCGAAGCTGACCGTATGGACTGTTTATTTCGTGCTGATCAAAATAGCTCTCGGAAGAATACTACATTGCAATCGAAACAAGGGAAATCAGATCCCCGTACAATACTTTAGGATTTTGCTTTTAATTAATTTGTTCATTTAAGACCACCGTCTATGAAATTTATGTTTTAATAATGACCCAGTCTGTTGAAGAATACACATAAAATGATTAAACCAAGAGTTACCAAATTATTTGATTTCTACCGTTTGACCTTTGGCCTCTTTATTCATTCTAACATCAAGAGTTCTTAAAATTATTGGGAAAGTTATATTGTTATAGTATAGGATTTCACACGAACGAAGAAATTGAATATAGAATTTAAAATTAAAAGAGTTTTAAAGATAACGGTTTTTGCATTTATGTAAGATTTGCACAGTGGTCGCTCAGACATTTTCAGAATGCCAACGGATTAGAGTCAGTCGATTCAAATAACTCATAATATAGAATAATGAACGCAAGACTGGGTATGAAAGGTAAAAATTGGACATACATGTAAAAGCGGTGGGAGAGTTTAGCTGGTATAAATTCCGAAGTTGCGGTTAGACATTTTCCATAAAAAACGTGTTTGAAGGAAAACGCAAACACCTAAGTGTTGAGAAATTCGTAGATAGCAGAAACAGTGATCCGAAGCAATCATCAGAAGTGACGAACAGCCTTTGACGCTGGTGGCAGGCAAGCCAGTAATAATTACATCAAATGTTCTCGAGTCTATGCGTTTGAATCCCTTTCCGACACGTGCAGAATGCTTTGATCTTGCAAATGCAGTCATTGACGGAGTTGATTGCATTATGTTGTCATCTGAGGTGGCGATTGACTTATATCCAATTGAAACTGTAGGTATTTGTGATATCCTGTGTCGTGAAGCAGAAAAGGTGGTATGGTACTGCGATCTTTTTGAGGACTTGGTTCATGAAACTCAGGCGGAGCTGGATGCTTCTCATTCAATAGCTATAACTGCTGTTGAAACAGCAAGGCGCACCAAAGCTACTCTAATCATAGCGCTCACTACCTCAGGACGGTCTGCGGCCCTAATAAGCAAGCTTAGACCTCGATGTCCAGTTCTAGCAGTCACCAGACGTGAGAATGCAGCTCTCTGGGTTAGTTTGCATCTGATTATGTGAATGATTTTAATGCACGAGTACGTTTTGCATTAACGAGCGCGAAGAAATGGACTGTTTATTTCGTGCTTATCAAAATAGCTCTCGCAATAATACTAGATTGCAATCGGAACAAGGAAAATCAGATCTGCTTACAATACTTTAGGTATTGATTTTGCTTTTAATTAATTTGTTCATTTAAGACCACCGTCTATTAAAATGCGAAAGATGTTGACCATTACGAAGCAGCATGGCTCGAAACATACATACGACACAGGGAAGAGGCTTCTGCGCCACTGTATGGTGAGTTGAGCGACTGCGTGTTAGGCCGCGATTGTGCATTTTTCCAAATATTTGAAACACGTATCAATTTAATTTTCTCCAAGATATTCGATGATTTTGAAGCCGATGGTAAACAAAAAACTTTCATACAACCGTTTTTCACCAATTTATCAAAGTTAAAGCTTTCCTTAATCAACTAAGACTCGTTTTTTCCATCTAAGAGGTCTCCATTTTGTAATAAGTGTTAAACTTCGTCGACTCAACCTTTAACCCGCGTTTTAAAGATGGGTGAAGTTTGCGAAAAGTGTAAAACACGTTTCAGGTGAATTTTCACAAATGCCGTTGAAAATGATTTTACCCTACTTACCAGATTTATCACTGCTGCTGGTGGAATTTACAAAATCCCTAAAATACGTAATCGCAGAAAACTTAAAACTACTATTAAAAAAAATTGTTGAATCGCATTTCCGCTTTTCTCCAAAAAGTGGGAAACGCTTCTCAAATAGTTTTTCTTAAAGATCTTTGGAAATGAAAATCGTTGAGCTGCATTTTCCACCGATGATGTTTTGATTCTCCAAGATGTGGGAAAAACTTAAATAATTTTTAAAAAAATCTTTGGAAATTATACCAGGGAGTAAAAGATTTTCCTAAGCGTGTGAAACACCTCTCAAATTAATTTAAACAAAGATCTTTGAAAATTAGTTTGAGGCCGATCGGAGGTTAAAAAAAAGTTGAAGTTGAATTCAAATATTTCATTTGGGTCATTTACGTTTTTTTTGTGTGTGCCTTTTGCTACCGCAGGTACAAAGACAGACGCTTCTATTCATATACAAAATATACAATTAAGCGTGAATAGCAAGTCCAAAAACATTTAAATGCACACATGCCAACGCTTAGGTACCCTTTCGAACAAGAACGATCTAAAATGAAAGAATTTCGCATCGACTTGGCAAACCCTTTCATTATTTCATATTACTCGTCCCCTCAGAAGGGATGAAATGCCACCGACTTTTGACAAAAATTGAATTTGTGGGCATTTTGGCTTGTGCGGACACATACACACACAAACGTTTAAACGGTACATAGACAAATTTCAAGAGCACTGAGAGTAAGCCAAATCATTTTTCTGCAGTGGGAGCGAGATAAAAAACAGCGATGCCGTTCTATCGCACAACTCATATGGATGAGAGTAAGCCAAAGCAGTTTCCTGTAGAGTGAGCGAGTAAAAAGACAGCGATGCCGTTCTACGACACAGGTCATATGTATTCTTACTCTCTTGCTGTGAGAGCATGCGGGCATGTCTCAAACCCGAACAAAAACCAAGGCGACTTTGGACCAGCCGCACTTAAAACGCTTGTCACCACCAAATGTACGATTTTTCCAGTCTATGTGTTATTTGGTTAGTGGTAGTACCCAGAAAGACGGCGAAATGAAAAATTGAGAGTGCATGTTTTGCAACATATTTTAAGTAAGCGATTTTCGATTGTCGCTGTAGAAAGTTCCATTGAGATGCCCTAAAAATAATTGTCTTGTGGAATTAAATTTTAAAATGGTAATAAAGTATATATTTTCTTGATCAGGACCACGAGCTGAATCGACTGAGACATATCCGCCTCACCGTTTGTCTGTCTGGTGGTATGACATATGTACCATATATCTCTATATATAAAACTGTTTGTCCTGACTGACTGACTGACTGACTGACTGACTGATTGGTGATCAACGCACAGCCCAAACCTTAAGAGCTAGGAAGCTGAAATTTTCACTGTAGTTACCTTATGTGATGTAGGTGCACGTTAAGACGGGGTTTCGGGAAAATCAATACTCGCAAGTGTGCAAAAATCGCGAAAAACGTTTGTATGTCACTTTTTTGTTTACTATCCGATCGGCCCCAAACTTATTTTCAAAGATCTTTGTTCAAATTCATTTGAGGGGTGTTTCGCACTTTTCGGAAAACCCATTCCTCCTTGGTGGAAATGGAGGTCACAGATTTGGTGGGTGACGTTTCACGCTCAAATTTATTTCCAGTGATCTATATGAAAATTTATTTGAGACGTGTTTCTCACTTTTCGCAGAATTCAAACTTCTTCGGGGGGAATGCGATTTAAATATTTTTTGGGCGGCGTTTTAAGTTGTGTCCGATTTGCTTCAAACTTATTTTTAAAGCTCTTCATAAGAACTTAATAAGTAAGTATTTCAGCGATTTGGAAAATTCCACCCGCAACAGTGGTAAATTGGCGGAAAAAGGTTGTATCAAAGTTTTTTGTTTACCATCCGATCGGCCCCAAATTCATATTTAAAGATCTATGTTTAAATTCATTTAAGGGGTGTTTCACACTTTTTGAAAAATCCATTCCTCCTTGGTGGAAATGGAGGTCAAAGATTTGGTGGGTGACGTTTCGCACTCAAACTCATTTCCAGAGATCTATTAGAAAAATCATTTGAGACGTGTTTCACACGTTTCACAGAACATTTCCGACCCCATAAAGTATATATATTCTTGATCAGTATCAACAGCCGAGTTGATATAGGCATGTCTGTCTGTCTGTCTGTCTGTTTCTATCCGAACTAGTCTCTCAGTTTTAAAGCTATCTTTATAAAACTTTTTATTTCATATTTCAAAAGCGGACCACTATATCATATAGCTGTCATAGAAACAATTTATCGAAAAGTAGGTTCTTGTATAAAAAAATTTTTGTTTATAACGATATCTTGACCAAACACGGTATTTATTAGTTTTACTATGCTCTCCATGTATAGGCAAAATCCTATCAACATCGGAATACTACATGATATAGCTGCCATAGGAACGATCGGTCGAAAATTAAGTTGTTGTATGGAAAATTTTATTGTTTTTTCAGATATCTTAACCAAACTAGACATTTATTAGTTTTTATAAGCCTTTCGTATATATGCAAAATCTTATCAACATCGGACACACATTGGAATTGCGTAACCAACCAACAAACGAATAAACTACAAGACAGACACAGACACCTCTTAAACAGCCAAACAGCCTCAGTATCAATCTCCACGTCAAAAAGCGCAGACGTGTAAAATACTGTATGTAAAATGTTCGAATTAATGTTTAATTTATTGTATTCTACTTGTTAATTGTTTTTTGTATCTTGGTGTTAGTGCCCTGAAGACGGTTTGCCGGTGTGCAAACGAAATATATTAGAGGCAAAACATTAAATAAAATTGATTTCATTGTTTGTCTTTACAAACCCGGACCTCGAGCCAGCCAAATATTTAAAATATGAAAAGGTCGCCAAAACCATCAAATAAAATATTATCATTATCATTCTACTGTATATGGTCCTAAATATACTCGATCTAACTAATGACCTGCTTCATTTATTAGCAATACTTTATAACCTATTTTTAAGTCAAAATCTGGAGTCTTCTTATCATAGTTAATTTTTTTATAAGCCTTAACTTTTTCTAACATATGTCTATCTGTTTTAATAGCAATTTCTAATCTAAATTTTATTTCCTTAGAATAATCGTTATATTATAGATCGGAACTATTCTATCTGATTAAAATCTATGAACTGTCTTAATAGTCTTCCAAATACTAGTTGGTATGGACACTATTGAAGCATAACCGAAGGTGTCGTGTTGAAGCAATAAGTGAAATATTGGATCCAAACGTCCCAATCGGGTTTGTCTGCTGAAATGTATGATCGAATATATTCATTGATTGTTCTATGACTTCGTTCTATTGTCCCTAATGTCTGGGGATGATATGCAGTAGAAGTGAGATTCTTGATCTTCATATACTTGCACATGTCTGAT